AAAAAAAAACAGGGAACAATACAGAAACAAATAATACTAGTGACTTATTATTAAACCTGAATGTTACTTCTTTAGTTACAGCAAGTGTTGGAAGTGATGTCCATTCATTTCAATGCAACTGGCTAAACGATTTCTCATTGAACGTTTAACTCGTTGAAAAACACCTTGCATATTCCGTATTTCTTGGCAACAATGAATGACTCTTTGTTCCAGTTGTTGTACACTGTCAACAGGCACTGAATAAACTAAGTGTTTTAAATAACCCCATAGAAAATAGTCTAACGGATTAAGATCCGGCGAACGGGGAGGCCAAGCTACGGGTCCACCTCGTCCAATCCACCGATCTGGATAAGGCTGATTTAGATATTGTCGAACTAATAAAGGTTGCTATGGCGACCTTATGACGCATTTGCGGACCTATGTTCATATGAAATTTTCTTCATAGTTTAACATTTAGAATTACCCCTAGAATTATTCGAACGGTATTTCCGGACACCCTGTATATTTTTGAAATTGGGAAGCAATTCAAGCTGTCTTCAACTTAGTGATATAATATGTGCGTCCAGAAGTAACGCAAAAAATTCATATTTTATTTTGTGTTGAGTATTCACAAAAACGTTAAAACATGTCAATTAGTAAATTGGAATTGTCGTTTTGTCACGTTGCTTAAACCTTTTTGCGCTATGTTTCATAAACCTATGACGTCATCGACATTTTTTTTAAATAGTACCACCTAATTTTTTAAGCATAAATGGATAGTCCTTTTGAAGGGAAATACGTCGATATAGGGTTTGGCCTACTTTACTTTGACAGGAGCGGAAAGAAAAGCCAATGACTGGAATGGACATGGTTTAAAATAACAACAAAAGTAGGTATCATAAACTGATGCAAGAACAGTGCCACAGTAAAAAATGGAAATTTGGGAATGTTTTGTTATTTGGTTGATTGTACGTACGTACGAGAAATAAAGGTTATTGGCGGAACTTCTATATCTTACCCTTGCAATCCTGCATCTGTAACATCTATAGCTGTGCATCTACCCTTAAGGGCAGAAGATATACCGGTTTCATATCTGTGTTTATTTCCTCTCCATTCCCCATTTAAAAGGGAACAAAATTGTTTTTATACTTCCAATTTATTTTGTGTAGGTTGGCAACCCAATTATCAACAATTTATTCTCTTTAATGTTTTTCTAATTGGTAATATCCATGCTGAAATCAAGTTAAGGCAGAACAACTTCCTTTTTGCTTGCACTACAAGAGCTGCCGTTCGCCATTTTATAAGTCATATTAAAATATTTGCTAAAAAATTTTTAGAAACGTCGAAAGAGATAAAATTTGTTTCAAAAAGTGACTTTTTATATTCAAATTTTGCATTGGCATTGGAGACGAGACAATAATCTTTAAGAAATTTGGCATGGTAGATAAAACATATTTATCAGTATTTAATTTTTTTAAATAGCTACAAGAATTGACGTGTCTACTTTACTGTAGAAAATTTGTAGTTTTCAAAATAATTTAAGTGGGAACTGTTCCCTGCATTACTTGCTACAATAAATCTAAAATTCATGGTATGTTATAAAATGTTATGCTTGTCATCAAAAAAGAAAAGATCTTCCAGAGTTAATAAAATAGTCTCTTAATTTTGCAAATACGTTTATAGTTTTCTTTCATCTCTGTTCAATATGTCTATAAAAAGTTTTTGAAATTAAATATCTTACTAAAGAGTCAACTGTGCTAACCAAGTGCTTTTGATATAAAATGTATGTTATATTGTTTAATATTTAACCTTATGATAGATATTTTAAGAAATAATCAGACGATACTGGTATAATCATGAAATAAATGGCATGAGTTCTCAATCAATTAGCACAATCTGATTGTTTATTTTTTGTTTATGATGTTTGTTAAGGAATGAAACAAAATGCATTTTCATAATTTTTATAACTGATATTGGATCGTTACATACTTTCATACTGGGTGATAACAATTTTTTTTCTTGACTCTATTTCATAGACATATTAACTGCATACCACATTTTCATTATATAAACTAGTCCTCTCTAATTATTCCGATTTATTTCTAATGTTCATTATCTTTTCCAGTCTATGGCTTGCAGGTGACAGATTCTGAGTTTAATGTTTTTTAGTTTAGAATAAATTTAGACACATTTGTTTTGGTTGGGCGAGACGTGTTCACCGGGTTATTGAAAATAAGAGTCAGTATTTTCCTACATCAAGTGGGATCGCCTGTTTTAACTGAACAGATTGTCAAGCAGATAAAAGTGTACCAACATTTCAAATTGAATTGTTCAAACTACACCATCCTACAGGAAATAAATCGGTGATACAAGTTCGAAAATAGCTAAACCGAAGGGCTGGTGGATCAATTTGTAAACATTCATTAGTTGACTGGGATGGCATTGATGACCAGTCTACGAAATGTATTCAAAGGAGAAGCAACTGACTGGCTTCTGACGTTGTTTACACATTTTTAGGTGGATGCGCCTAAAGGTTTAAAAAGGTATATGCGTTGTTAGTGATCATCATATATATTCGATGCGGCGTGCTTTTACCCCACCAGAGAAGTGTGATCGTCCATTTGTGGAAAAATGTTATGACAACGATTGAAGTTTAAGGTAATAAACTATGTTAACACAGTTTGGGCGAGGTTCAGTTGGCTCTAAATAGTACTAAATATAATTCTCTGGAACTGTTATTTAATACTAAAATTCATTCTTTGCAATACAATCTTGTTGCTGACGAAGGCGATAAGCCTTTGTGCAAAATTAAAGAAAAATCTAAACTATTTAACTTTAGTCAGGTTAAAATCAAATCATGTGTTATACCTACTTGATTTGTTTACGCAAAATGTAATGAGAAAATGCTTACTAAAGTAGATCGTAAATATCGAGTTCCATACAAGAATGTTAAAGAGCTAACAAATGATTGATATAAGATTGAAATAGTAAATGGAAAGGGTGGAATTCGTAAGTTTGTTCATGATCAATTAAGGGCGATGCAGATTGGCTGGGAACAAAACATGTTTGAGTTTGCTGAAAATGATGACAGGCCGGTGTTGACAAATTTGTTGGAAACTGAATAACTATTTTGCCAGTTTGGCAGTTTTCTGCGGATCATCTGATTAGTATATTATTTTGTTGCTATGGGAAAGAGAGCTGCGGCAATTTGTTCTCTAGGTATATTAAGATGTGATAATCAGAATGATGATTATCAATATTTAGAAAGATGGCTGCGATAGATATCCTGAGAGCTGCGGCATTTTGTAATAAATGCAGTACGCGCCTAAAGTATGGAATAAATTCAGTAAAAACGAAACAAATTTTTTTTGGGAAAAATCCTCGAACAGCTCGATTTTTAATTTAAAAAATATATATTTTAACATAAAAGGCGATTTTCAACCGTCATTTGTTTTCCAGTAATGACGTCATCGACATTTTTTTTAAATAGCAACCGCCTATTTTTTTTTCTTGACTCTGAAAGATCGGTCCATTGTCGATCCGACAGTATTAAAATGTTGCCATCTTACATAGGAAAGTTTTCGTGTAAATGACGATTGAATGTTAGAAAACCCAAATCAATTCAATTTATTTCATTCACAATACAATTTTTTTAATATCTTCGATACAAAATAGCATTCCACACTTAAGCCATACTAGTATAAATGTCTCTTTAATGTTAAAAATGCACACAAACAACTTGAAATCGCAGTAACGTGATTGCAAGTTTTGATAAACGCAAGTGATGATAACACTGGAAAAAAATGTATCTTTATCATATTCTGTTTATGTATATAAACAAGTATACCTTTATTTTATAGGACTTTAGCTACCATGAATTTGAAAGTTTTGGTATTGTGTTCCATTTTAATTGCCAGCAGGTAAGTGTCAATGATATGAACTTTAATTACCGTAAGTAAATCATTTGAAAAATATTACAAAATAAATAAATATAACAAAATGATTGAAATTTATATTAAAATATTTTAAAAACAACATTACATGTATTAAAAAAAATTATATAGTTAACAAAATCAAATAATCTCCAATTTTTTTTCAACGCCCTGCAAAGAAAGTTAAAATTATTGATTATTACTTAGTTTTTCCACCAGCAACTAAAAATTTAAATTTTTGAAATTAAAGTAACTCAATTTGAATATTTGAATTGATGTATCAATTTTTATGTAGATATTTCAAACATAAAGAAAATCTGAAAATTTTACAAAACTTATTAGGTACTAGTCCAGGCTGAATCGTCGCTCCCGCTAGGAACATGATTCTCATTCAATTTTTTCCATAATCGTACTAAAAAAATGACCAAAAATGGTGTAAAAAAGTGGCCTAAAAACCTCACGTGATTAATGGACGATCGATCCCTTAGTAAAATAGATATTTACTATACAAGGGAAAAAAGTACTAGATTTTAGCTCGAGGTTGTGTTGTCTCCCGACGCGAAGCGGAGGGAGACAAAAAACCGAGAGGCAATCGCCTGGCAATGAACCTTCGCAGCGCTTGCATAAAATCCGCCGTTGATAACGATCTACATAGTTCTAGATGGACTGCTCGATATACGGCACACGTAAAAAGGCACACCCATACTTTTTCTCCAGTCTTGAGATACAAAGGACCCGCAAAGTCTACACCCGTTATTTCAAAAACTGCGGCATCTCGAATCCGATCCATCGGTAACGGCGGGGAACTTGCATCAAACGGCTTAGCATTATGTCTTTTACAGACGACACAACCAGAAATCGCTGATTTTATTGCCCGTCGACCGCCTAAAATCCAATGTCTTTCTCGTAAAATACTCATCAGTCCTTGGGCACCAACATGGCATAACTTAACATGTTCCCCAAATATCAACCGATTTACCACTGAGTGTTTGGCAGGCAAAACGATTGGATATCGAAAATTTTCGTGATCGTCTCGATTACTAATACGAGTTTTCAACCGAATTAAACCGTTCTTGTCTTTAAAGCCACTCAGACCATGTAATTTCTTATCATTTTCGTTCGCAAACGATTCTTGTTGAATTAGTTTGAGCACCAATATTTCTGATTTGTCACATTCTTCAGCACTCAGGTCTCCTTTACGCTTGTCATACTTATTTCTAGAATTGTGTATAAATCGAAGTATCCACGCGCACATTCTTAGAGTTTTCAGGTATTGTGAAAAATAGTATAGATGCCAGTCTTCTGACGTCATTATTTTACTCTCACTGTTGAGTAGTACAGTAACCAATTTTTTCCTCTTTTCTTTATTAATCTCCTCTTCATCATAATGGAGATTATCCCTAGGCCAACACGACGAGTCTCGATATAACCATGACGGGCCCTCCCACCATCTCGATTCGAGCAATTGTTTCGCAGAACAACCTCGAGATGGGAGGTCAGCTGGATTCAGCGTACCAGGAACATGATGCCAATTTTTGCCCGAAGATGCTGTTCGAATTTCCTTCACCCGATTCCAAACAAATGTTGACCATTCTTCTGGTCTTCTAATCCAACTGAGTACTGTTGTCGAGTCACTCCAGAAAAAACTTTCTAGTTCACTATTTAGATTTTTTCTGCACATTGTGTATAGTCGAACTGCTATGATAGCTGCCATCAACTCGAGTCGAGGTATTGACAATGTTTTTAAAGGCGCTACTCTCGCCTTGGCTGCCAAAATATGTACAAATACCTCGCCATTCTGCACTCCCCTTAAGAAAACAACTGCAGCGAAAGCTTCCTTGCTCGCGTCACAAAATGTATGCAAGGCCCATTGGTCTGCTTCTTCGGAGCCCGCATGTATCCATCTAGGGATTCTAATAGTTGATAAATACGGCAACTCCTCCATCCACCTTCGAAAATGTGTTTCAATTATAGGGTCGACCGGTGTATCCCAAGTAAGCTGTTTTTCCCATGTCTTTTGAAGCAACAATTTTGGTATTAGCGTTGTAGGACAAGTATAACCAATAGGATCGAATACTCTCTGAGCTTGTGATAGCATCATCCTCTTAGTCACGAGTTTATTTTCGAATTGCTCTGTGGTGTTATCGTCTTGGTTTAGGCTTAAAGTATCGTTCTCTTTGTTCCATTTCATTCCCAACACGGAAGTGGAAATATCAAGATTGCCATCTTGGACTTGATGAGTGTGCTCCCACCCTCTTAAATCAAACTTGCCTTCAGCCATTACGATACTAGCCTCTTCGACAAATGTTCTCAACTCTTTGTCATTTGCAACACTGGTTACGCAGTTATCAACGTAAAAACCATCTGACAATTTCATGATGGTATCCTTTGAAAAAGGTTTGGAATCAGATTCCTTCAACATCTTGGACAAATGGTACTCTATTGTGGCCCCTAAGAGAAACGGACTACTGTTGATTCCGAACACCACACGACGATGGCGATACACTATTTGTTTACCCTCACTGTCAGACCATAAAAAACGAAGGAAGTCTCTATCAGCCTCATGTATGCTAATCTGTAAAAAGGCTTTTCTAATGTCTGAGACTACACCAATTCTCTGTCGCCTGAATCTTAGCAAGATATCAGGAATCAATTCAATCAAATTCAGACCCTTCTCGAGGCACTGATTCAAAGAGGGGCTGTCTCTTTCTCTGGCTGAAGCGTCAAAAACAGGCCTTATTTTTGTGGTCGCGCTGCTGGGTTTTATTACCGGCCTATGTGGTAAGTAGTGAGCCACCTTTGTAGGTTGTATCTCGAAAACTTCTTCGATAATATTTTCGTTCAGCCAATCTTTAAACACCTGGTCATACGCTTCGAAATATCCGTCATTAATAACTTTCTTAACAGTATTCTCCAATCTCTTCTTAGCCATCTGATAGTTGCTTGGTAATGCCGGATGTCCTTCTAACCACGGCAGTCTAACTTCATACCGACCTTCTACGTCGATTGTGATGGTTTCCAGGAAAAATTCTTTAGCTGCCAACGCTGTTTCCTCACGAGTCATTCTTTCAGCAGGATCGTTTATACCTAAAACATCAAGTTCCCAGAGATTAGTAATCGAGGCATTGTTAACGAAAAGGGAAACAGAAATCATAGACAAGCTTTGAGGTTTTTCCAGGGGTATCTTGCCCATCATGGTCCAGCCTAGTAGTGTTTCGATGGCTACCAGCCCGCATTTCAGAACATATCGTTTTCCTGTGTACAGCTTTCCTGCAATATCGGAACCTATTAAAAGTTCTATAGGGGCATCGTCATATGAATCCGATATCTGGATATTTAACAAGCGAAGTTCTTCCGTCCAGACACCATGAAATACAGCAGAAACTTCGTTGCAAATTACGGGTTGATCCAAAGCTTCAAAAGTACAACTATAGCTGTTGTTGCTTACTGTGACGTCATAACAGTCGTGCTTCTGAGATAACTCACTTCCGCCAAACAACCCATGAATAATGTTAATCTGTCTTTTGGACCTGTACTTCAAAAATTCAGCTGTGGACTTTAAAATATACGATTTTTGAGATCCCGTATCTATCAACGCGCGCACGTATCGTTTTATCTGAGAGTTTTCCATTTTTACGCGGAGCGTTTGCAGAAAAATGTGTTGATTCGTACTATTCGCAAGTGCCTGATGGGTTCCCGTCACAACTTCTTCCTTAATGTCCTTTTGATCGGATTTTCCATCATTCTGTCGTTTCGCTGAGAGCTCCAGACACATCAGAGCTACGTGTGATTTGCCACAAATGATACATCTTAATCGACCTCGACAGCAACGAGCCTGATGTCCAATTTTAAGGCAACGAAAACAGGCCCCTTTTTCAGTCAGAATATCTTTTCTCTGATCATAGCTTAGTTTCTGAGCTTTAAAACAACTTGAACTCTCATGCAAATTCTGACAAAAAAGACATTTATTTGTTACTGAGGAATTGATTAAGCCCGTTGCAGTATAAAGTTTTGGAGAATCTTCTTCGTGTCTTTTTGATCTATTTTCTCCACGTCTAAAATCCTTATTTCTCCTATTGCTTAAATCGAAACCCTCCACTGCTAAATTAACATGCTGTTCATTGTCGACTTCATTCTTTAAAAACTTCATGAGGCTTCTGAGACGATTTTCTATTGTAGAAACACCTGCGGTCTCTTCTAAAGCGGCGCCTGTCGAAAGGTGGCTGTCCGGTAAACGTTGCCAAACTCTTAGTAAATCTGACGGGAGACATGACTCGACCAAAGGAAATAGCATGGCTGCATATTTATCGGATGTAATGCCGAGTGTCTCTAATGCCCGTAACTGCGACTCTAATTTGTCATACAAGAAAGACAAGTCTATTTTATTGCCAGACGAAGTGGTATTTATAACTAATTTGAGCAACTCTCGAACATAAACTTCGATCTGCAAGTCCTCACGACCGAACCGAGAGAGAAGACAGTCAATCATTTTACTATAGTTACTTCCTGTAGCGGGAAAACTGTCGACGAGCTGCCTAGCTCTACTACCCGGCACCATAGCTTGAATCAAATACTCAACTTTATCGTTCAAGTCTATATCCGGATCATCATGCACTTTTTGAAACTGAGACCAGAATGGCAACCAATCTTTAATATTCCCATCAAACTTCTTAAATTCTAAGGTGGGCAACTTAAATTTACGTCTACCTGTTCTGCTATTAACAGTTCCATCAGATATCACAGAAGTTGCCTCATTCTCCACGGCATCTGTCCATTTGGGCTGCATACGTTCTTCGCAGCGACTATTCAGATCCGCAAACTTCTTGATATAATTATCACTGACCTCCATCTCCACTAACAAATCTCCTTCGTTGGCATCATCATCTAATAGAAGATTGTAGATTTCGTTGTCAACTTGTTTTAAATCTTCGAATTTTTGTCGCAGAATATCTATTGATACCTTGATGAGTCGTAGGTCACCTTCCGGCGTCGATAATAACTCATCTAATTCTTTTGCCGATTTAGTAAAAGTAGTGCGAAGCACTTTCCGATGTTTCTTCTTTTGCTCCATTTTTCACTGCAAACTTTGTCAAACCACACTATTACCAAAACCAAAAGCGATAAAAGTTTGTCCAGTGATCGTCTATATGCTTCTACTACACCCAGTACATCCACAAAAACGACTTGTTTTCACTTAAAACTCCCTGTCCTGTCACGGTCGCCAAAAATGTCAATTGCTTCGTGATAAAACTACCCGTTTTACCCTAAGCATACGGTTCGGTTTTTTCCAAATAAAGTCGCAAGATCTTGAATAAATCTTTATTCTTTAGGTGTATTAGAATCTTTTTCAAAAGTAAAATGCAAACGAAAAACTTATTTATTTGACACTGACTGATCTCTTTTTTCTGCCTGCTCAGATTTTTTTTTCCAAAAAATATTCACCTAGAGTATGGTGGCTCTGACAAATATATTAGTCACTAAAGTTTTAAATTGGTAGGCTGCTATACTTATAGCGACAATTCATAGACCTAGTAAACTATGGACTAGAAAGAGAGGTCAATCGCGCTGATGTGTGCAAGGCAGATGAAGCTAGTTGAGGCAAATACCGGTAAAACAAATGTGTATATAAAATGTATAGTGTATATGAAATGATCCGTAAAAACTAAATTTGGTGCAATCGTGTCCTGCGATAAATTGCGCAAAGAGACGTTTAAGTGGAGAAAAAATTAAATTTCATAGGTAGGGAAGAAGTTATGATGGTACCAACATGTTTATACTTTTCGCATCTTTCTGAAAATAATGACCAAGTAGAGTTGTCTTTGATGATAACTATTAGATCATATTACTTCCTCCATCCTCAAAATGTCATTTTAACGTCAAAATTTTGCCGCTTTAAATGTGTTACTCTTCAAATTATTTTTTAACATCAAATCGAATATAAAGAAAAAGTTTTAACTGAAATGTACTTATAATGTGCTCCAGCAAAAATTCTCTTCAAATAATATGTTGAACCAAGAAAACATCGACATAGTTTCAATTTATATAGTTCTGCAAAGCAAGAAAATATGAATTATTTGGAACAACTACGTCAGAGGAGCTTACAGTAATTTTAACCGATCGAGTTTACGATATGAGGAAAATAAATGGAGAAATACATAAATAAGGCATTATAAAAACTATTTGGAATATTATAGCTAAAATAATTCAAATATTGTACTGTAACTAGGACAGTAATATAATAAACCCTTTTACATACGTACACTACTGGAAAAAATTAAAAGTTTTTGTCTTTTAGTCTATATTATTTTTATAAAGTCTTTGAATACGGCCCAACAGAAAAAAGGGGTAAGGAATCGCGTATAGCTATCTGATTGGTTGAATTAAATGTAGGCGCGCTGCAATCGAAATTCTGTGAACGAAGCTTAAGCCCTTACTAGCTCCATCTCTCTCGCACACGTCTGAGCGATTGTTGTTTATATAGGCGAAATGACAGTTGGGCGAGTCCAGTAGTTTATAAGGTCTATGCGACAATTACATCTGCGTTGCTAAGGAAACCTTTAAAGTAATCAAATAGCTGTCAATTTAATTCTGTGATTTGATTTAAAAATTGCAAACTTAGTGGTTGTTTAGTAGTTATTTTGAATAATATAAAGTTAAAAAACGTCTGATTCCGAGTTTTCTCTGACTCCACCGGAGTTAGTAGAAGCAGCGAAAGTAGCGTCACAAAAATTATTGCCAGCTAAATCGCGGAAAATTTACGAAACCGCGTATTCAAGATTTATGGAATGGAAGATGAAAAAGATATGTAGTTCGTTTTCGGAGACGGTGTTATTGGCTTTTTTGTGGAACTGGCACAACAACAAAAGCCATCAACAGTGTGGTTGAATTATTCAATGATTAAAAGTATGTTAAAATCCAATAATAATATAGACATTTCAAAATATTTCAAACTAATTACATTTCTGAAACAAAATGGGAAAGGTTATACGCCCAAGAAATCTGCGATTTTTACGATTATACAAATTAATGATTCTTTAAATAATGCTCCTGATGAAGTTTATTCAATGGCCAAGGTTGTTGTTGTATTTGGGATTGCAGGAGCTTGTCGAATTTGTGAAATCAGCCAGGTAAGATTAGATTATATTGAAGATTCGGGAACGCTATTAATTGTGAAACTTAAGCAAACAAAAAATGATGAAACAGGAGATTTTTAGTTACTGAAGAAATGTTAAATTTTACCGAATGTACATAGCCCTTCGTCCAGCAGCAGCAAAAGATCGTCGCCTGTTTTATGCATATCGCAATGGGAAATGTATCAATCAGGTTGTGGGTAAAAATCAGTTTTATGAGGTACCTGACACAGTAGTAGACAATTTTCTTCAACTTGACAATGCTAACTCATATACAGGTCTTTCATTTCGGAGATCGTCTGCTACATTGTTAGTTGAATCTGGGGGAGACTTGATGACACTAACGAAACATGGCGGTTGGAAGTCATCAACGGTCGCTGAAGGATATATTGATGAATCGGTAGCACACAGGACAGAAATAGCTAATAAGTGTTTAGAACGTGCTGAAATAACATCCGATTTACGACTAGGTACATCAACGGCTGTTGTGTCCATGACAGAAAAAAATACACAAGAAAGTTCGACTGTTATACCGAATAGTTTAAGAAACATGTCATTTATGCAATGTACATTTCATATTTGTACTTTTGGTGTAAAGGAAATGTAACTTCTATATAATAAAATATTCTAAAATTAAATATCTACCTTTACTTATGTATATTGTATACAGGGTGTAACTAAATAAGTGTAAAACATTTAAGGGGATGATTCCTCATAGAAAAAAAGATAGCATCTTTCATATAAAGAAACTTCATTGGAGCATCCCTTGTTAAGATACAGCCCCTTAAAGGGGGTACATAAAATTTGTTTAACAATTTTTAGCACTAAACAAGTTACAATATTGAAATTAACCTGACATTTTCTACTACCAAAAAGACACTTAGCCAGTAATTTATTTGGTTTACCCCATGGTTGTAAGGGGTGGAAAACGCAACCCCTAAAATTTATTTCCAACGTAACTTTTTGTCTTATTATTTGTTTACCATTTAAAAATTTATTTCCGATAGCCTGTTTCATTCTAAAAAAAATGTCTCTTGAATTATTTGCCCAAAATAAACCAGTTCGCAGCAAAAAATTATTTTACGAACAAGATACATATCGCCATAAAACGAAAATACGAAACTAATTTATCTAGTAGGCCGCTATTAGCAATACTGACAATTAAATTGGAAGTAAGCTGTCAGTTTGTAAATTTTTGAAATTGAAGTAATACTAATTGTGTATTGTTGTTCTGTTCTTAATTTGTTACTTTAATAATTCACTTGTTATTAAAATGGCATACACAAATGAGGAAATGGCTGATATGCATTACGTTTACTGTCTGTCGCAGGGGAATGGGTTAGAAGCTTCTACAAGATATGCTGAAATGTATCCTCAACGGCAGCATCCTTCACATATAATATTTGCCCGACTTCATCAACGATTACGTGAATATGGTTCATTCAACAAAAGAACGCAGGATTGTGGTCGCCATCGAGAAGTAAGAACACCACAGCTTGAGGCAGCAGTACTTAATTTGATAGAAGAACAACCTATTATCAGTACTAGAAAGATTGCTTTCCAGCTAAATGTTGATCATATGATCATATGATATGATCATATATTTAACATTATTTATTAAATAGTTTATTAATATTAAGTTTATTATTATCAAAAAACAACAAAAATACCAGTCAATATTGAGCGATACAAGCAGATCCTTAGTTGTAGGCGTAGAGTATACACTTCGAGTGAGTGCGAGAGAGACGCAGTATTCGGAGGCGGCCAAGAGCGGACGAGAAACGCGGCGCGCGCCCCTTATTTACAATAAAAAAATAAGTCTTCAGAATAAAATATGCCGACGTAACTCTTCGGACTTTTGTTAAGAGATGTTCAAAGATTATTTAAGAATTTTGGCAACACTAAAAATTACAATTTTTAATATAGTTTATTGACGTTGAAAATGGTTAAAATCGCGTTTTTTTTTAAATCGTTAATATCTCGAAAACGGTAGATTTTAGAGAAAAGTTGCTTAGGAACTTTTTTATTCAGGATACCCCAAAAACCCTAAAAAAAATATTTCGAGCGAAAAAATCGAAAATTACGAATTGGTTTAAAAAATAGTTTAAACAATTTTTGACCATTAGTAACGTCTGGCAACATGCGGATATGTTTCAAGGGTAATTTTTTAGTAAGATTATAAAAAAAATCGAATGAGAATCATGTTCCTAGCGGGAGCGACGATACAGCCTGGACTATACAATTTTTATAACATAAGAACCGTATTTAAAATGGCATTTTCGGCAAAAAAAAAACAAAAACTATAATATTAAGGATTTCTACTTTAGTCTTGACAAACATCAAGGAATAAATATAAGGTAGGTACTATTTATGTAGTTAACATCGATAATTATATTGATTTAAATAGTATGTGGCACTTTTTTAAATTCATAATTACTTCCAGTTTATCTGATGATGGCTCTAAAGCGTTTCCGGATAATTTCATGTTTGGTGTAGCTAGTAGTTCGCATCAAATAGAAGGTAAGTGTTTAGAATTAGAATGAATCCCTTTGTATTTAATATGCTCATTATATTTGTTCTGTAACGCTGTTTTTTGTGCATCATTTTCCAGTTTTACGACAGTATTTCAAAAATAAAGCAAATTTAATAATTTGTGACAATTCAAATTAAATATGTAAGTCATAATTACAATTTCCCTCTACCACTCACAATAACTTTGTTATTTGGCCCTACCAGGATAGACTTTTAAAATCTTAATCTAAAATTATTAAATATTTGTTTTCTCAAAGTGATTCTGAGCATGCAAAGATATGATATTCAGAAGGCTATTCGGAGAACATTTGCAAAAAATTCAGAAGTTGTAAAGAGTTGTAATAGTTTTAGAATTCATGAAGAGAATTATGCTGAAGAAACAAAGAAAATTAATTGCAAACGCCGTTCAAAATGAACAAAAAAAAAATTGATTTGAACAGAAACCATATCGCTTGATTTAATAACTTTATTAAAAAACCCAGAGGCTGCAAAACTATTCCAGGAATGTTATTTTTTCTTTAATTTGTATTTATTCCGGTCAATTTTTTATCGACTTTATATCGTATTAGGTTTCTTAAAATATTAAGTTTAGATAATTTAGAGTGACTTGTGTAAACTATGGATAAAACAGTTTCAGGTTCACTTGTGGAACAGATCCACTTATTCCGTAGCTGATAAATATGGAATTGCAATCACCAAATGAATTTTAATGTTTGTCTTAACTCAAGGTTCTCTAAACTATTAGTTTAAGGGCCACATTTAGTGCTCTACAAAGTTGAGAGGGTCTTGATATAATGTGTGCGAAAAAAAATAAAGCGTAATAGATACTCAAATGCTGTCAGTTATCAAATCACATGCACTTCATCATTATCAATTCGCAATTTCAAACACATTTCTATTGTTAACAACAGTTGTCGATATTTACTATCTATTAGTTAAATTAATACAGAGTGGTTCTGTAATAAGTGCGTTCCTTGAAAAGGGCACGCAAATGAGCAACTTTTATTAAGCAATTGATCGTCTAAAACATTACGTTTTAAATTGAAATAAAAAATTCAAATGAAGGTTTAACAAATTTAAAACCGTCCCTGGTGATCATCGAAGTAGAGGCGCGCAGGTTTGTGAAAGTGCTGATGGCAGCTGTTTGTTTATTAGCTTGTTAGTTAGTTAGTCTTAGTCGTAAGTGTGATTTGCATTTTGTTATCAGATAAGTCAAGAAAGATGATGTCAAAATAAAAATAAAAAATAAGTCACGTCAAACTTCATCGGAGTTATTATTTTAAAACATAGATTAATTAATTAATCCTGAATCAGAAATACAGTCCACAAACAATTTCAAGAAATGAACCAAGAATCCAACATATGAAGTTGAGGCGCGCAGATTTGTGAAAGTGCTGATGGCGGTTTTGACGGTTTAAATCTTGTTTTCGAAAATGCTGAATTCTATTCAAGTCTCGTTTAAAAGTAACACAAAAATTAAACGAATAAACGAATTACTTATCAATAGACGACATGCTCCGCAAAAATTGTTCACAGTTGTTTCCATGTGCTAATTAATAAACATGCTAAAATTAGTTCGCATACGTGCAAATACTCCCGGAAATTGCCGCAGCTGCAGCAAAAATACGCTGTTGAGGATCTGCTGCATGGACTACATCGGTACATATTCTCTTTCATACGCCCCCAAACAAAAAAGTCCGGAGGGTTCATCTCCGCACTTCGTGTTGGCCAACGTACAGGGCCATTTCCTCCTATCCGTCCCTATCGTTTCCTTATTTAAAGTATAACTTTTATGCCACTGAATTAATTGGTAATATGAATACATTTTACAACGGTCTGAAACATTCTGCATGAAAAAAGACTCTTTTATTTTTGTCGAAAAGTGAATGGTTTACGAGTTATGAGACATATTATGATGCGGTTTTCCAGATATTAAAAAAATATATTTTATTTTTGTTAATTTCAACGCCCTGTATCTCATAAACGGTAGCTTTCTGTGCCTATGTTCATAGAGCAAAGTGATGTTAATTTTTGTCATTTAAAACTTTCCCGAAGTTTGTCTATTAAAATCTGGACCACCCAAATTTGTTTTATTTTTCCCGATTTCAACGCTTTGTTTACTTGAATAATATGTCTCATAACTCGTAAACCATTCACTTTTCGATAAAAATAAAAGAATGTTTTTTCATCCGGAATATTTCAGACCATTATAAAATGTATTCATATTACCAATTAATTCAGTGGCGTAGAAGTTTTATTTTAAATAAGAAAACGACATCCTTGTTTGTCCGCCACTGGTCTTTGAATTTGGACTATGTGGATACAAAACTCGGGGAAATATTTGAAAAAAAAATGTGTACCAAATTTGGATAAATTTGATAAAGCCGTTTTCCAGATATTTAAAAAAATTATTTTATTTTAGTTCATTTCAACGCCCTGTATCTTATAAACGGTGGCTTTCTGCGCCTATGTTCATAGAGCAAAGTGATGTTAATTTTTGTTGTTTAGTGGTTTCCCAAAGTTTGTCTATTAAAATCTGGACCACGCTGTATATTAAAATTTTGTATTATAAGAATGAAATAGAAGAAAAATTAATTTTTGTCATTAACAAGGAGCTTGGAACGAAGACGGAAAGGGAGAAAATATTTGGGATTATCTCACCCACACCAAACCGGAATTAGTGGAGGGAGGTGCTACTGCTGACATCACGTGCGATTCCTATCACAAATATAAGGAAGATGTAGCGTTACTAAAAGATCTGGGTGTTGATCACTACCGATTCTCCTTGTCCTGGTCAAGGATTTTAACTAACGGTAATTGTTTTTACATACATTTTTATATGCACAGTTTTCTGTTGCTATATTAGACTATTTTTATTGATTTAATACTGTGTAGGCGAGATGCATCACTGCATTACTTCTACTTAGTGCTTTTAATCGGTCAAACTGACAGAGATAAATCTATTTTATGGATACAATGAAAGCAAAACCTGTGACTCCACCAGACCAAATAATTTTTAAACTAATGATGTTTCGGGCACCGATTACTTTGTTTACTAATAGCCCCACCAGCATTGAATTATACTATCAATATCAAGTAAACTTCTAGGTTCATTAGTACGTAGAACGTAACAGACACATACCGGTTTTGAACTTAATAGATCGCATCAATATGCCATAAGTGGATAACCATGAATGATGCAGCTATTTTTTGGTGTTTTAACTACCGACATGGAATAAGTATACATAGACACAAGTCATATATTTAAGATATGGCATATATTTTGTAGGTTGTATCTCACCTACACAGATATGTTGGTAGACATCTAAATAAATACAGTCGGTCATCTCATTCATGACATACGATGAGAATTAGTAAGCTGGAATCAAGTCTATACTTAGTCAATGTCTATGGCGAATGATTTTAACTGTTTACTAAATATTTGGGGTATAATATAAAATGTTGAACAGAGCAAATAGTTCACAGAGTAGATGTTTTTTAAAATATCATTAGTTAAAAAGTTTATTTCATCTAGTGCGACATAAGTTATGCTTTTATAGTACCCACAGAATATTAGGTTGCTCTTTCTAGTAGGTACAAAACTATGTACATACAAAGGAATGGAATATCTCACTAGACATCGAGTAGCAATAATATTTAAGATAATAATTTTGATTTTATAAATATCGTACATAAAAAGTTAGCTTTCCATTATTTTTATTCAACATTAACTTAATATTGATTGCCTAACCATACTAAAGGATAGGAAATACAAGATTATATTCAGCTCTATCAGTAAATAGGAACTATCACCCTCTATGTTTACTGAAATTTTAAACTTAACTAGTGAAATGGTTTCTAAATTTTGTAAAATTTTAAGCTCTGTCACTCTGTAGATTGAAAAGAAGCAATATTTCATTAAGTCGTATTTGTTAAACTATATCCCGTTCTTAATAAAACACTTTATATGGCATGTTTGTAGGCAGCATTGGCAGTGTTAATGAGGCCGGGCTCAATTATTATAAAAACCTCATCAAGGAACTAAAAGATAATGGTATAGAACCTTTTGTAACTCTGTACCACTGGGATCTTCCGGAAATATTACAAAAACAAGGAGGATGGATCGACATGTTCATTATAGACACATTTCTGGACTACGCAAGGCTCTGTTTCGAAACATTTGGAGATGATGTAAAATATTGGTTGACCTTTAGCGAACCTAAACAAACTTGCTTGTCAGGATATGGATACGGTACAATGGCACCATCAGTTTCGAAAACTGGCGAACTTGACTACAAATGCACGCACAACCTCCTGAAGGCTCATGCTAAAGTTTGGCATCTCTATGATGAAGAGTTTAGGTCTACACAGAATGGTATTAACACATATTACTGTTGAAAGAAACGGAAACTTTAAAGTTCTGATTACAGGAAAAATTTCTATAGCCTTAGACAGTAATTGGTATGAACCTGAAGATGACACCTCCCAGAATACGGTCTCCGCTGAAACTAAACGGCAATTTTCGGTGAGTATAGTCATTAAACATTCTTATAATTTTTATACAAGCCGGATGTTTTCAACTAGAGGTAGGGAAAACTAGTGTCGTAATGGAATCTTCTATGTTTTTTATTGTGTGAACTGTACAAGGCGTTCCAGAAATAATTGTCAAAATTTTAATCAGGTATTTGTAACGAAAAGTAACACTTTTTGGTCCCGCATTTTATCCCCACTAAAATAATGCTAACGAGCTATCTATGGATTAAATAAATATCGAATAGTACGTAGAAGGTTTACGCAAATGAGGCTTGCTTTCGGTGTGCAGCAAGATGAAACTCTCAACGGTAAAATAAAAGTATTTTTATTGAAAACAAAATGCAGTGAAAAGAAATATTGTCCGGTCGAGCGTTCGTTGGAGAGTCTTGGTGTGGTGTTGTTCGCAGGTATATGCATCTCGTCCTTGGCGCCAATCTGCCGTGGACCTTTTCCTGGAACCATGGTGTGTGCGTCCCGCGTCTGTTCTTGTCCTTGCAACCGTTGGCTGGCGCTCTTGACGTAATACTTAAAATGATCCACTTGCAGACATGTGTACCCACACAACTATTCACTATCTTCTCTTCACTAGAACAGCAGCAGCATTTGATTATAATAAGGTATATCACATATGTCAAATGTCGTTTTCAGAACATTAAGGATCTTGGTGTAATGTTTGACAGCAAATTGTCTTTTGGTGATTCTGGCTCTCGTGAGGGCCCACTGTTTTATTGTCGAAATGCTAGAACAAATGTGCTTGTAAAATCTCCTGTTTATTTAATGGCTAATAATTATAACCAAATAGCAGATCAGTGTGATTTATTTCATTGTAATTTTAATGATTTGTTAAGAATTACCTCGGATTACTTCAATAATTTTCAATATTAGATATAGGTTTTGCTTTCTTCCTCTTTTCTGTTTATTATCATTATTATTATTGTTATTGTTATTGTTATTGTTATTGTTATTGTTATTGTTATTGTTATTGTTATTGTTATTGTTATTGTTATTGTTATTGTTATTTTTATTATTATTNAAATTTGCGATGTTTATAATAATTTGGATCAAGATATAAAAGAGAGCAATATATACTCATTCAAACGTAAATATAAAAGACTTTTATTTGAGCGGCAATATTATTAATAATACTACTATTTATTTGTGGTTAAATGTCATTACTAATAATTATTATTTAGGATTAGAATATTTATGTTAGTAATAGGTTATGTTGAGTAGTGTGCACAACCTTGCTTGTGCAGACTAGACTTCGCCTTTTGTTCGACTTAATGGAAACTAGTTTGTGCAATATGTATGTTTGTTATAGAACAATAAAGACTATTATTATTATTATTATTATTATTATTATTATTAACAGCAAAAATTCAAGATGTTTATTTGAATAATTGCATTTAATAACAATCTCAAGTGCGTGTTTTTGTGTTGATTATGTTTAGACATATCATTTTTAGTATTTATTTTATTACTGGCTGTTCACTAGGTATTAGCTAATACTAGTTGAGGACTAATTGTTTCCTGTAATATCAGCAGTGATATTCGGTGATAGATATTTTTTACGTAATAGATTTCTAGTATAATAACATTGTTTAATTTCATTTGATAAATTTTTTAAAAAATTAATATTTTTGAATTAACTTAATACATTTAAAATAGTGTAAAAAATGTGGGGCCTAATAATGAAATATGTTTTTTGAAAGAATGTAATGCTTTTAAAAAACTGAAATATATCTGAAACGTAATTAAACTTCTGCAAGTGACACATCAGTCAACTCAGAATTAAAAATACATATTGTCTAATAAATAAATTTTAACCATTATTAGTTAACAATTTTTAAAGATATAAAAAGAGTACCAATCCAGATTTTATTCAAAATTATTTTATGTTTCACAGTAATTTATATATCAAATATTTCTGGAACATTGTATAAAAAGTCTTAATCAATCAGCATAAAATTTAACAAACAATTATTTCCTGTGCACACGGCACTGTTGATGGGTGGTTGATTATTGTATGTAAAAATGTAGAAACAGACCACTCGAAGTATAGTGCAAGCACGTCAAAAAACTGTAGTAGAAGGTTCCAGGCTAAAAACATGAGGGCGACTCAGGGAGTTCCCTTCTGGTCTTCTGAGAGTGTGATATAAAGTGCATCAGGTCTCTCCTGCCATGATGCTTGGAATCTGGTAAGCTTATTTTAAATTGTCACCTTCTAGATAGAGATTGTGATGGTATGGTGTCCAGTTAATTCTGGGATTCTCATTTGTGAAATTTTCATTTACAGTTTGGCTGGTACGCAAATCCTTTATTCATTGGCGATTATCCAGAAGTAATGAAGACTCGCATAGGGTATCGAAGTATGCATGAAGGTCGTCGTGTATCTCGTCTTCCTGTGTTTACAGACGAAGAAATAGAGTACATTAAGGGCACTTGTGACTTCCTGGGCTTGAATACTTACACGTCCTCTATTATTAAATACGAGAAAGAACAAGAAATAAGGATTCCTTGGTACGATTGGGATGTTGGAGTGAAAGAGCACTTTGCATCCGAATGGCCAAGTTCCGCATCTTCCTGGCTGAAGGTATGTATTTTATATCTGTGAATAATCCATATTTTATAGTACCTAGAGAAAGATATGCGGTATCTCAATCTAGTGTTTCAAACTGAAGTAGAAAATTTGATAATATTAAAAAAAGGTTGGAAGTAGGAGTCGGAAATATTTGAGTTATATTAATGAAGTTTTAGGTAGTGATTGAATTTATTGGAAGCACACATTTACTGTAAAACAAATATACCTATCAACAAGTGGCAGATACATCAAAATTTATAACAAGAAAACACTGTTTTAGATATTCTTTGCGGTTTCTGTACTACATACATCCAGTGTACATATAGAAACAGATAATTAAGGAAATTCAAGTTTTCTGTCGGTAAACTGTATAGCCTAGACTATTTTTTAAATGGTAAATGAACTCTTCGAAAGATTAAACTTTTAATTTATATTGAAAAATAAACCTGTCACAGAAAAAATAATATTAATATCTGTTGCTTAGGTCACACCGTGGGGAATAAAAAAGCTATTAAATTGGATTAAAGACACATATAACAGTCCAGATATTTTCATCACAGCGAATGGAGTGTCAGATGATGGGTCATCTTTGAATGATGAAATCAGGATCAACTATTACAGGGTAATTTAAAAAATGTATTAAAATTCGCTAGAAACTGTAAAATTATATTTTGAACATCCTTAATCTTATTGGTGATATTTGGTATTAGTGGGAATTTAGTATATTGTAAAAACCTTAGAATAGCTTAGAAGCTATAGTGGGTTTTCGGAGTTATCCATTATCATCTGTATAAAGAACTTTGGCAGAACTAGATAATAATAACAAACCTGAGCCTTACGTCTGTCGTTGAGATTAATCAGTTTTTAATTCTCCTGAAGTGCCGCAATGGTAACTTTTTTATTCCTGGAACGATGAAGAATTGAACGACAAATTCTTTTTCACTGGATTGAAAAGTTGGTGGTAGAAAATATTGACCTTGAAAGTGAATAATTATTTTGTGTATCGAGCACGTGGACCTTGACTATGGAGTATCTCTGACCTAGAATTGCTGCGTCTGGGATCTTGCGGCTGGAGGTGCCAACGGTTTGTGTTATAATTTTGAGGATTTGTATGGAAGGCATTTGAATCTTCTACAAAAAAAATATTCTGCATTATCAATTGATGAAATATAAGATACCAGGATTTTAAGGGATGCTGTTTAGGACTACGTAGTCATGTTTTTAATTAAAAAATCCCTAAAATGACGTTCCAAAAATCGCTCAGAAAAAATTGGAGATAGCCCAAGGCCATGTATCATATTGGCAATTAGATTGTAGTAATTGGTTCAGCAAGTACATCTAGACCCGCACTGATCTCTTTTGCCATATGGTAGTTCCGTTTCCGATTCACTCCCTTATTTTTTTGCTAATTGTTTCCGACACTTTGTATATGACAAGAAAACGCAGATAAGTAAAAAATTGGCGTAATAGAGCCAGATGTAGGCGGAGACCACTTTATGATCATACCCACATAAGTGTTCTATATACATAAAACTATTCGCATAGTTAAGAACTTTATCAAAAACAAATCTGTCATATGTTTTTAGCTTAGAATATAATTTAAATATAAGGTTTAAGACTTGTACTTTATTAGTATTGTGTTTCATATAAGAAACTTATTTATTTAGGATTATCTAAGCAATATTAGTAGTGCAATGGAAGATGGAGTCAATGTAATCGGCTACACAGCTTGGAGTTTAATGGATAGTTTCGAGTGGACCAGTGGGTACTCGTAAGTTTACAAATGCAGTATTTATTTTTTAGTATACAGGATGTGCCATTTAACACTCCCGCTGCCAATTTCTCCGAAATGAAGAAATTTATTTTAGTTCCGGAAATTGTGGTTGTTAGGTCCCTCGAATAGCTTCAAATTGTAGTTAGAACTGTTAGTTTCAATATTTCTGTATGGATGGCGTTGCGATAATAAAAAATTTTTGATTTTGGAACGTGGAAATGTAGTCTGAAAGATCGATAAATTTTGAGTAATTTTTGTAATATACTTAAAGCTCTATTTACTCGTTTTCGAGATATGTCGACTTCAATATGTAATGTATGATGTAATAGGAACATCTATTATTTTATTTAAAGCTTTGTTCACATCACATACTAACTAACAAACAACTGTATTTTATCAAATGTTATTAAAAAGTCATAGGTGGCTCAAGTCATTTGTTTAAAATAAAACATGTATGGCAGATGACACATGTTAGTTTTCCATTAATTACAGATTTATCAGCTTGCTTGTTTCAATTTAACTAATACTATTTATATGACTTATTTTCATTTTACTATTGTATTTCTGTAGTTGATCATTTGTTTTTTTATAATTTATTGTTTGTGAGTTAGTATGTGATGTTCATAAAGTCATTGTAACAATATTTTAAAAGAATATTTTGTCTCGGTGTGATTTAAATGAAATAATTGATATTCCTGTTACATGATACATTGAATATTGAAGTCGACATATCTCGAAAACAAGTAAATATAGGGAAAAACTTTATATTACAAAAATTACTCACAATTTAACGATCTTTCAGATGGACTGGCACTAAAAAAGAATGATAAAATGTCACACTTTTTCTATGTAAAATAATCAATTCTTTCACAATAATCCCGTCTGAAGTGTATACAATGCCTATGCGAGAGCCGAGACCTTTATTACATTTGCCCCAGTAGGAAGGGCAAGTATGATACAAAAACATGGTTTTAAAAAAATTGTGTAAAATAACCAAAAAAGATCAGAATCGCAAAAAACACCCAGAGGTATTGAAAGAACATATCAAGGTACACTATATATTTTTTTTTGAATTTTTGATATTCTTGGTTTTTTAAATATCAGTCAATAAATTGTCACTATGCGAATTTTATAACACACTTACCCCACGTTCCAGAGATCAAAAATTATTTTAGTATCGCCACGCCATCTATACAGAAAGATTTGAACTAACAATTCTAACTGCAATTTGAAGCTATTCGAGGGACCTAACAACCCCAGTTTCCGGAACTAAAACTATACAGAAAGATTTGAACTAACAATTCTAACTGCAATTTGAAGCTATTCGAGGGACCTAACAACCCCAGTTTCCGGAACTAAAATATTTTTTTTTCATTTCGGAGATATTGGCAGCGGGAGTGTTAATTGGCACACCCTGTGTACATAACTGGAACAATATAATTCGTTTTCAAAAAGACGTGACAAATCAAGATTGAATTTTACTGTTTTTTCCTTTTCGATTGGTGTATAATTATTGTGGCTATTCTAGTGTTTTTAAGGATTTCAGAGACTGTGCTTATATTTAAAGTACATACCATGGTTGTTCCTCCGTGGTCTATGTAGCCTAATCAGTGAAAGTTAAGACTTATATTGCACTTTCTTAGTCGTAGGATTCTTCGATCAGTTTTTATTGTTCTCGGACTAGGCTCAGTGGGGACGGACCCGCTTTCAAAAGCCCTAGGACGTCCTGTTGTTGATTTTGGTCATTGATGGTCGCTGCGGATGGAGCCGCTACTCAAGCAATGGTGGTCTGAGAGGATCTCTAGTGGCCTCTGTAATGCTTCCTAGCATTGGTTGATAGGCCACTACGTAAAGCTTCAAAGGACCACCACAGCGGCCTTAAAATGAAGAACAAGAACCGAAGTCAACATCAGAGGGTCCTAGGGGTCTGAGAGGTTTGGCCGATATTAGTCTCAGTTGCATTTTTATCACGACAAGAGATGGATCGTAGACGCATTGCAATTATATGGCTTGGCTACTGCCGACGTCGTCGCAATAAAAAAACTAAAAAATATGAAAAATATCCAAAAAATATGAAAAGGCTAAGTTTTGTCCCACTGGACAGGTCTGGATTCAAGCAGTGATATAAAAAATGTTATATCTACTTCTAGCGAACAAACATTCGACATAGTTGCGTACAAATATTTAAAGCCGGTACACGGCAGCCGGGCTGGCAGTGGTGGCGACCGGCTACAACCCGGCGGCCGTTCGCCGAATAGCTTATTCCGTCACGTGTGAAAGCTGCCATAAGACTCTGTACACCTTGCTGCCGGGTAACCGGATCCGGTTAGCCGGTTCCGGCATGTGTGCAACGGTTGTAAGGGCAGAGCAAACTTTAATAGCTGAGGCTAAGAAAGTGCAATGTAAGCCGACCAAATATAACGGCATAGCAACCTGAAGGACCATAGTACTTTAAATAAAAACTAATTGTGTTTTTATGATGACATGTCGTTTCAGTTAGTAAAGTTCCGACGATTTTATATATACATAAAATACTTTCTATGTTGTCAAATCTATGGAAATGAATTAAATGATTGAAAATTGAAAAATTNGTGCTTATATTTAAAGTACATACCATGGTTGTTCCTCCGTGGTCTATGTAACCTAATCAGTGAAAGTTAAGACTTATATTGCACTTTCTTAGCCGTAGGATTCTTTGATCAGTTTTTATTGTTTTCGGACTAGGCTCAGTGGGGACGGACCCGCTTTCAAAAGCCCTAGGAAGTCCTGTTGTTGATTTCGGTCATTGATGGTCGCTGCGGATGGAGCCGCTACTCAAGCAATGGTGGTCTGAGAGGATCTCTAGTGGCCTCTGTAATCCTTCCTAGCATTGGTTGATAGGCCACTACGTAAAGCTTCAAAGGACCACCACAGCGGCCTTAAAATGAAGAACAAAAACCGAAGTCAACATCAGAGGGTCCTAGGGGTCTGAGAGATGATCCGCCCCCATCGAGGTTAACCCGAGAACAATAAGCCTCGTTGCACACTAGCCGGACCGGCTAACCGGATCCGGCTATCCGGATCCCGCTGGCTCTTTCACACGTAAATTAATTTTCAAACCGGTTTGGCAGATATTAGTCTCAGTTGCATTTTTATCACGACAAGAGATGAATCGTAGACGCATTGCAATTATATGGCTTGGCTACTGTCGACGTCGTCGCAATAAAAAAAAACTAAAAAAATATGAAAAATATCCAAAAAATATGAAAAGGCTAAGTTTTGTCCCACTGGACAGGTCTGGATTCAAGCAGTGATATAAAGAATGTTATATCTACTTCTAGCGAACAAACAAACATTCGACATAGTTGCGTACAAATATTTAAAAAGTAGTGGCGACCGGCTACAACCCGGCGGCCGTTCGCCGGATAGCTTCTTCCGTCACGTGTGAAAGCTGCCATAAGACTCTCTACACCTTACTGCCGGGTAACCGGATCCGGTTAGCCGGTTCCGGCATGTGTGCAACGGTTGTAAGGGCAGAGCAAACTTTAATAGCTGAGGCTAAGAAAGTGCAATGTAAGCCGACCAAATATAACGGCATAGCAACCTGAAGGACCATAGTACTTTAAATAAAAACTAATTGTGTTTTTATGATGACATGTCGTTTCAGTTAGTAAAGTTCCGACGATTTTATATATACATAAAATACTTTCTATGTTGTCAAATCTATGGAAATGAATTAAATGATTGAAAATTGAAAAATTGCGAAATATGTCAAATATTATCAGCAAATAAAAAACTACAAGACGATTCTCTTAACTTAAAAATTATTGTTATAAACTTATGTATTAATGAATAAGGAAATAGCAACGATTAGGTATATGGGAATTAACAAAAATGTTTATTTTTTTCAGAGAAAAATTTGGTTTTTATTCTGTCGATTTTGAAAGTGAAAATCGTACAAGAACGGCAAAAAGTTCCGTTGAGTATTTCAAGAAAGTTGTTTTAACTCACTGTTTGGTGGATTCATGTGAAGAAGATTAAGCTGTTAATATTATAACGACAAGAATATTATACTGTGCATCGTAGTTCATTTTTAAATATTGTATTTGTTCTCTGCCTTCTCTTATTAACTAATTTAATTTGACTAGTCTGTATTGTAATATTTAAGAAATGTAGGTCTATGTAATAATTCGGAGTTTTATTTTATATAGAAACAACAGAAACTACCAATTTATCTTTTTAAAAGTAAAATTGCACTGTACATACATATAGTCTCTACCCAGAACAAAGGATGCATAAGAGTTATTAAAAAAAAAGACGTGGGAGAAATCAAGAGATGTGGTTATGAGGGAGTAAAAAGTTTCTTCAACCATCACATTCTCATAAAATGGAAATAGAAATAAGTTCCAAAATAACAAAGGTTAGGAAGTCATACTTTTAATAAAAGGAGCGTTTAAATTTTTACTGTAAACCGCAAAGCAAGAATGTATTTTCTTGTCGACAATGAACAATTTTGTTTGTTGGAGAAGAGGAAGAAACCTAGATCAACGACAGATAAACTATGACAAAGATATGGTAAGATAGAAATATATACCGTTCTATAATCATCTTTGGATTCATTTTTACCAGAATTAAGGTCACTATCAGATATAGGGATAATATGATAATTACCCATATCCGTAGTACCTACTTACTTTATGAAGGATGGTTTTTGATAAATCATGAACCAAATATACTTGATATCGCTGATATCATACTATGGCTCCTGATAACACAATATTTAGAATAACCTTTAATTGTTTAAAAATTTATATATCAAAATATATTCTTACATACATTTTTGTACAGGCAATTGTTTATTTTGTAACTTAAGATAAATAATATGCTTCTACCTTTATTCTATGTTGATTTTGCATATTTTTGTCGTACATTTTTCACAAAAATCAAGTCGTCTTGTAACATTGGAATCAGAAAAAATTTTCCACCAGATAAGATAAAAAATATATATCATTCTAATAGTTCTTTTTGCATATATCGTTTTAAATTGATAACGGCCTGTCATATTTTTTAGGCAAAATATTTATATTTTTGAAAAAAAAAGAATAAAATTTTTCGGAACGTCAAGATAAATTATGAAAAGTTTTTTTGCGATATATGAATATTTATTTGCTACTCATTGTCAGATTTACGTAGTACTATTAGCTGTTTTTTCAATGTATCATTTTCTTTAGTATTGTGGTTTAACATTAGCTGTTATATTCTGTACGTAACATTATTTTAATTACTAATTAAAATCGTTTCATGATGATTAATATCTTTACTGTGTTATTGAATATGTTAAATGTAATCGCAACTCACTGCTTAGTGGATATGAGTGAAGAAGCCTAAGTTAAGTTTTGTGGCATTTAAGACTTAAAAAAGTAGGAAGGGAAATACATACATATTTATTATATTTAAGTACACATATTTATTTTTTAATACAAAAAAATTATTTATGCTGTAACAATACTACTTCTCTTTTTAATTTTCAAATATATGAGAAAATAGTTTTAAGGCTACAATAAAGCAATAGCAATTTTTTAGAATTTAAAAAATCACTCTACATCCATTATTAAATAGTTAAATTATAATTCGTATTCAATGAAATTTCTAAATAGAAATCACATATGAGTTTGTTGTTAAATACTGCAACATTCCAGTTAGTAAAATATACAGTTATTCTTCTTTCAATAAGACATCGCAGAATGAGAAAACAAAAAAAATCACAACGGGTAACGTGCAGCAAATTTCAATTCATCTAGATATTTTCTTTATTCTGATTAAAGTGAAAGTTACGATTCAGATACAATGTACACTCGACGCAAGATAAAGGTTTCCAATCTGAATCGTATTTTGTTTGAAATATGACGGCTTAACCGCTTGTCTATATGGGTCGTTCCCATTAAACTCGTATGGCAATATTTTACCGTCACATCTGACATTTTACGAGTTTTGTACAAACATGCTTTCCTGGTAGATTGGCATTTTTAAAATGGGACTAATCGGCAAACTCTTATAGCAGACCCCGTATGCAGTTTTTATTATCTTGATTCTATTAAAAGGGTTGCATTTACATTACAATCGAAAAATCGATTCATCCTAGTTAATAAATCTTGCGAAACGTCTACTACCTATTTACGAATAGTTAGATTGAATGGATTTAAGAAAATTAAAAATTTTATTTTTTTTTAATTTTGAAAACCCTGCAGCTTGGAAACGGCGGCCTTAAGAGCCTACGTGTGTGTAAAAAATTTACTTAATTTTAGCCACAGAATGGGCCTCTGGTTTTTTTTTCTGTACGCCATTAATGAACACTGTATAGGTGCCCGCAATAAATCAGTTGAAGTTTCTTATAAAAGTATAAAAGTAAGTATATAAAAATGGCCTCTTGACTTTTTCTTGTACTATTAAAATTAACAGAGTTAGGGAGGCTGGAAGTTAAAGAAAGATTTCAGAAATTTTGAAAAATCATAACAAGGGGAAAATGAGTTAATTTTGTAATTTTTTTTTTCAATCTACTCTAAAAATGTAAGTTTTCTTTTCAGAGAAATATATATAATTTTTAATTTTTAATAAGAAAGTTATAACAATTTCAAATTTTTAATCGTTAATTTTAATGTAACAAAACTAAAACAATATTTTTCCTATACTATTCGATTGATTGTTTAAAATAATAAAAAGTTGCATTCGAATTTTTTTTACGTTTGTTTTTTAGACAGATACAAATTTATTTACCTTTTTATATTTTGAATTTTATTTAGCTCCTACGACACTGCCAGGACAAAGATAAAAAATCACGTTCGCTTTGTCGCACTCATGGTACCCAAGTTGTGGATAACATTATGGGCCTGGAAATGTTTTCTTTCTGATGTAAAATTAAAAAAATTTCTAAATATTTCGAAAACGATTTAAGATATTACACTGAGCTTTGGTGTATAGTACAGTGGCAGTGTAATATCTTAAATCGTTTTCGAGATATTTAGAAAAAACCGGATTTTAAATTTCTTTCGACATCTATCTCAGAAAGGAAACATTTCCGGACCCATAATGTCATGAACTTATTTACTTATTTTCACTTCCAGAACACGTCCTTAAAATATTTCCCTTTCTTCCTGAAACTGTATAACTTATAATAAAACTGTAGTTTACAATATTTTTTTTATTTTGTTGCCTTCATGACCTACCTACTTACTTTCTGCAGAATATGACAGAAATTCTTATTTCAAAATATTAATTTTCTCAGGGACAAGAAAAATAACGTGACAAGACAAAATAATTTCAAAACCTGTATACTCTTCTCTTTTTATAATGCATATACTTCAGGTCTGTATTTTTTTGTTATGTGTCGTTACACACGACGAGAGGTTAACTGTTAAAAAAATCAGTCTCTGTAGATAACAGAAAATATTTTATTACTAAAGTAAATGTGTATATGTACATGTCTATCTTGGTTAAATCACAGACAAAATTGCTATCGCCAAGCTATATTGTCTGTGGTTAAATTTTGAGGGAACACGTTAAATTATAACTGAAATCTGGAATAGAACTTACTTCTATTATAAAGGCTTTTGCAGTGCAGTGGATGAAGGTAAACGTCATGGTCAATGGTCATTAAAATACAAAATACATCAAAAAAACTTGAAAAAATATTACATTAATACAATATTTTTATAAATATTAGATTGCTATTTATCTAAGCATCCCTTCTATTCTAGTTTTGGAAATTCACTTTTTATAACAAAAAAAGAATTTCCTGTTTCCATGTGAACAAATTATCAATCGATAAAATAACATTCACAAGTATTTGTGCTTTTTATCTGGTACTACCATTTATCTGATAACATCACTTAATTAATATTTCTATCAGATAGCAAATTATCTGTTCTATTATAATATTGTTTATATACATATATAATAAAATAAAACTTGAAATATAAAATGAAATTATGAGTTTAATATTTGTACCTAAGTTACACATGAAAATTAATTTGATTGATATTTAGGGTTACACAACCAAGAATAAAATGAATCAATATGGATTTTACGGAAATGAACTTCCTATTTTCGTTATTGACTAAACACTGATGCCAGGAAGCGAGCAACCTCTAACCTGAAAATTTTGCCTAACCCCCACTTTGTCGTCCTAGAGGATTTTTTACTTGACTAATATTGGTTAAACAAAGGATCCAGGGATTTTACAACCTATTCAAGTAATAATACCACTTTCTATACAAATCTCGCCTCAATTTGTATAGATTATGTGAATACATCAACATACAGGCCACTAGGTGGTGGATGAGCATCGCAAGCCTTCTCCTGGATGGTCACCCATCCAAGTATTTAATTTCAATGACATGAATGCCGTCAAAAACCTGATGATTAAATAACACACATTACATTTGTTTTACAGAGTTTCCTCAAATTCTGTAATTTATCCGTTCTAGTGATACACATATAGCAAATTTTTGACAATAATAAAATGTAATACTTTTGCAATAATCCATCCACACTGACAGCATTTCTCCTCAGTTTGTATTTGACGGACACTACATAGTACTCACCAAAAATGAGGAGGAGACCGCTAGTGAAGATGTAATCGTCTTCACAGATGGATCAAGAAGGAAGGAAGGTGCAAGATGTGGAATTTATTCTAGATCCTTGTATATCTGATATCAGTGGGCAATGGATAGGCATACTGCCGTCGTACAAACGGAATTAGCAGGTATAACCATAGCTGCTAACGAAATCGTAGGTACACTGGGGGTAAAACCATCAGAATCTACACAGATAGTAGACAAGTATTACTGATCCTACGTGTGCGAGGAAGTGTGAAACACCTCTTTGTAGGGGTTGTGAACATGAAGACGAGACAGTACTATAATATGCTATGCGAATGCACTGCCGTCTCGTCAACAAGAGAATCCGTGTTGGTAGAACGTTGGCCTTCTATGGCCTATATTAGAGATATCCCCTTCAGCAACGTGACCACCTTTTTCTCTGTAATAGGTTGGTTAGCAGCTAAGGTGGATTGTACAAGGGGTCCAATTGGATCTAAGTGCTGTAACTTTTTAAGCTACCCTCCCTAAAATTCCAGATTCCAGAATCCATTTTAATTAGTAATGTGAGTTTTTTTACTTCAGTTATTATATTAATGTAATCATTTTTATATTTACATTTATATGTTACTGGAATCAGCTGAGTACCACTTAATTCTGCACCCCATTGGTATGATAATCGTATTACTATTTCAGCTATGTTTTTCTTCATCCTCTAGATTGTTTTGCCTTTTTACTTTATTCCGATTATCCACTGTCGGATTCTCTTTGGTTTTTATTTCAGTTTTTCTCTTTTTCTGTACTTCATCCATTTTAACTAGGCATCACTTTAAGTTAATAATTCTTGCAAACAGCTAAAAACTTTAAAATGAAATTGACATATACTCATAAAGTTTGCATTTTCGTATTTTGTTTAGCTTTTCGTTATAAATACTGTTTTGGACGTTTTTACTGTTAGTTTCCCAACAATAAAATGTTTTGTTGTGTTATTTTCATTTTGATACATACTAAAACTGTTTTTCAATTCCATTATTGACAAGATCCCACAATAATATTTGCAAGATATTGCAATTATCTTAGATAATAAGATAACAATATCAGATCAAATACATTATTTTCTTTAAAAAAAAATAGGCAATGTATCGCTTAAGTTAAATCAGAGGTCCATAAAGTTTTAATATGTATGTTGATATGTATACTTATAACTCAAGGCAAACAGTAATCACAAGTCAGATATTCACCAATATTCAGTCGCGAAAAAAAGCCTAACAGTAACCCATATGTTTATCATTCCCCATTTTAATATTTTGCCACTGCGCATCCTAGCCTTAGGGCTCAAAGGAATTTGGTTAACCTGTAACTGTTTACAAGTTTAATGATCTATCATAAGATTGCTCACTCCTAAATTGATTTTCAATGGTAGAGCTACGGAAACTTGTTCTTTAAGGGCATCCAAAAGTAAACTACATTTCTCTAAAAAATAGGAGGTATAGCCATAGTGGGTGTACTAAAAAAAAGTAATATATCAGTTTGAAGGTTTTGTGGAGGACAATATACAAATCATAGTAGCAACGTATTTTGTAGGGACAAAGTGATTCTTCTTCCTGTGGTTTTGTTCTATTCAAGTCCCATAGCACCGCGGCTTCATCAGGCTCCTCAGATTCCAAAAATGGTTTCCCAGGAGCGTCGTCAATATATAAATCATAAAATGAAGCAATGAATCTAGGAATGACAACGTTGAATATAAGTAAATGACGTAAATGTAAGTGATTAGTACTCCCTTAAATGTGCTACTTTGTATTGTCATCGCAGAAAGTATACAAATGTCCTTTTTAAATTAAATTAAAGCTTAAGGTTTATAAATCTGCCTTACATGACCTCAAATGACGAAATTCAAAGGAACGCAATAAACGCTGGGAAGAGTTAAAAAAATGTCCAGGTAGCAATAAATGAACTAGCTAATTTAAATCAAGTTAAAAAATTATTAGATGAGGAAAAAGTAAAACATCTCTATTATAAAAATAAATATTTTGTCAGATCCTTCGCGATAAATCAATAAGTGAAACACTTTATCCACAAATAATGGTTTGAGGATATCTGATTACAATATACAGGGTGTTAGAAGTTTGACTGCCTTAATGTTAACAGTCGAAAGAATACATTAAAATAAACAAAAAAAAAACTTTTATGACATGGGTCCTAAACTCAATCATTTCCAAGAAAAAATTTATCAAAATCTCCAATTTGATATACAAAATTCGATAATTAAGGAATATTGATATAACTACGTGCATAAAATACCATAAAATGCAATGTTTAAAACTTTTTTAACTTCTTTATGCTTAATTCTAAAAAATAATTAGCGTTGTAATAAATTTAAAGTTCGATATAATTCGTATCGAGCAATGTGACAACGGCGCGGCGGTTAACACGAGGTACTAAGCTGTCCAGCAATACGCAATTCAGTTGGTGTTGGTATCTGGAATTAGACCGTGTCGCAGTGTTTTTTGCGTACCATTATTTCCTTTTCTTGGGGTGTTTTCCAGCGAATGCGCGAAAATTGGAATCGAAGGTATCGCGCGTGCATCGATAATGGCGGTGGACATTTTGAACATAGTTTGTTTTGTACTTGTGCGTTTAAAAATTACTGAATTTTGCTTTTTGGTAAGTACCTTAATTATTTTTAATACATATGATTATTTGGACGACGTGAATCTTTGGGTACTTTAATGACATTTTTCAAATTCATAGTTTAATTAAAAGTTTCTGCTTTAAGAGTTTCATAATTATTAAAATTCGAGCTAAAATTTAAGCACAACTACTACAAAATCGATACATTTTATTTTATTTATTTAAAAACTGGAAAACAATTATCTGGAAATTAACTAAATGTTTCACAGTAATAGTTGTTTACATTTTTTCCGTAGAACAAGTCTGCCGCATGCACACGTGATATGCATCAGTTGTGTAGCGCTATTGCCACATTGTGATGAAACTCCCCAATTTTAATACTCGTTGTATTTTGAAAACTGTTAATCTTATGCCCCTGTAATATACAACATTTTTGTTAATTTATGATTACTCTATCTCATGTTGAAGTTATGGCAGTCATACTTCTCACACCCTGTATAACAGAGTAGATATTATTGGTGATTTGATAATATATAGTATAAACATTACATAGAAACACTTAAAACATGTTTTATCTCGCATCTTCATAATTATAATTACAGTATATAATAAACAATATTCATTGAATTCTGTAAAGTAGAGTAATAACTATCATGAGTCGAAATATTTTGGTTTTGTATTGTATTATTGTCACCAGGTGAGTTTTACTTGAAAGTTATGTATTACAAAAATGTTTCAACAAATGTCAAATATTATAAATAAAATCGAATTCAAGTAATATTTTCACAGATATAAATTTAGCTATAAATACCGATTCAGCAGGTGTGTTACATAAGACTATTATACAATTTGGATAAAACTGAGAAGAGTTAGATCTGTAGAAGGTAACGACAACTATGAATAACTTTTTACAGATGGTAATAAATCGGATTTACAATTAAAAATAGTTATGTATGTATAGAGTAGTTCTAAATTATTGATATTTTAAAGCGTATAGTACGAGGTTTGATAAAAAAGTAAGGGAAATTGTTAATTTTCTGAGAAATAATTTATTTATCTTCAATTTTCATCCTATCCCCTTCAACGTAGCTCTCTTGTGATATTATATACTTATGCCAACGTAGTTTTCAGTTTGAGAAACAGTAGTGAAACGGATCTTTAGGTGTCGTCTTGGTCACGGTTTGCGATTTTGCCTTTACCTCATCTTTTATTGAAAAACGTTGTCTTTTGAGCATCCTTTTGAGTTAGGGAAATAGGCAAAAGTCATACAGGTTATGTTCGGTGCTATGTTTCGCCAATAACTGTTTAATAAGCAAAGCAGAATGAGCTGGTGCGTAGTCGTGGTGCAAAATCTACGTCCTGTTCTTGTCGTTTTCTCCTGATTGCCTCACGCAGATTGTGCAAAACTTATAGGTAGTACGCCTTGTTAACTGTACGACCGGGCAGTAAAAATTCGTGATGAGCTATTCCATTGTAGAAAAAAAAAACAGTTAGAAGGATGTTCATATTTGACCAGACCTCGCCTCATCTTCTATGTCGTCTTGGCCTGCGTGAAAACATTTGTACCCAGTGGCGACCCGTGGGTTTGAATACAGGGGGGGGCGCATTTTGAAAAGAGGATGTATATCATAAGAGCTGCGGGGGGTGTGGGAGGAAAAATTTTAAGGAATTTGAAGGTCATTGTGTTTTGCAAGTACCCTAAAATGAATACTGTCAGTGTGTACAGTAGGTACTTCGATACAATGCGAGAAGTAAAATTCCAACGTGTGGGGGCTGAAGCGGATAATCGATCAATCAACCCAGTTAGGATATAATTATGTAGATTACTGTAATAGTTCATTCTGTATAGTTTTTGAAGTTCCTTTAAAAACATGGGCATCACTAAGATGTTTATCTAAAACGGGATCAATTTTTGCACTATAGTCTATCAGTTCTAAAAATACCCCTTTGTTTACCGAGTCACTTTTTTTATTATGTCCACGAAGAGAAAGGTTACATGTACCACATAGTTTTAAGATATTTAAAATTTTTGAAAGAAGCAATCGATTTTTCTTAACTGTTTCGTTATGACTATTTACTATTTATTTGTTCTGCATAAGCACTATTTAAACAAGAAGCAATATTTACTCTTCCTAAAAGTAAAAAACTCACCAACTTATTTTTGTGTTTAGGAGAATTTTCATGTTTCTTAATTTTAATTTCTAAATGTTTCAAGTCAGAAACTCCAGTTTTCGTCCAGTTTTCTTCGCCTCCTCCAAACAATAAACATACAAAACAAAAAAATCTATTTGTTTGGTCACAACCACACAACCACAGGGTCTTATCATAAATGTTTTTATCAAATTTGCGAAAGCCGGCCCACTTTTTGCACTCTTTCTGCACCTCAACTAAATTCAACACTGGCGTTGGACGTCCGTTATTTTTCAATTCGACTTTTTCCTCTAAACTTAAATTACTAATAACAAGTTTTTTTATTTCACAAACCCTCATTTTAAACTTAAACTTATAAAATATAATGTCTTAAAAAGCGCCAAAGCAAAAACAAAACACATATAACCACACTTCAGTGATACGGGTTACTGCCTCATGGAGTCCCAAAACAAAGCGCGCGAGCCTATCGTCGCCTATCCCCTCCACGTGCCAATTTGTCCAATCATATGTAAAAATATGCTTGCACGATGGACTCAGATTTCACGGTCCGCGATGGAGTGGGGATTGCGCGCGCGGTCAAACATAACTCTTTGGTACGATCATAGATGGCAGATGGCATTAATCTGAGCTACGTTCACGGAGTACATGCACTTTATGCAACCAACCTAACATCCAAGAGATATTGGATGTATGCTATTTAGATTTCTTATTGATTTAAATAAATATATTATTTTAAGTATATAGTTTGAAAATATCTGGGGGGGCGGAGTCCCAGAGTCCTCCTTCACGAGCCGCCGCTGTTTGTACCATTGATAAACTTATGACTGTAAGATAGTATCGTCACCAAATGCCTTCTTTAACATTTGGAACACTTTGCTGTATTTAACTCCGTTAACACATTAGATAAACTCGACAAAAAAATCTCCAAAAACACTAAGGTAAGTAAAGGTTGTCGCTCACTAGAAAGCGGACGGCAGCGCGCCGAAGAGCAGTTTTTATATTACACAGCTTTAAATACAGATAACAAATTCATAAATTTTTCATATGGTATCCGGAAGTATTGATGAACTTTAATTTCATCATCGATTAGATCGGGTGTATAGAACTCACCTTCAACTCTACGTTTTTTACATATGTTATGTACCCAACATTTCCTTTTCCTTTTCGCGTCTTTTTCTGCTTCTGCACACAAAATAGCGACAACAACAGCATCTTCTTCATCGGATGACTTAATTTTAAACTGACGTTGACGTGTACTGAACTGTCCCTATCGGTTGATGCAAAGATATTGCCGTTTCGGTACGCTGTAGTGAGTGTATACTAAAAAAAACCGCTCCGGCGCGCTCTAGTGAGCGACAACCTTTACTTACCTTAGTGTTTTTGGAGATTTTTTGTCGTATCAGAGAGTTTATCTAATGTGTTAACGGAGTTAAATACAGCAAAGTGTTCCAAATGTTAAAGAAGGCATTTGGTGACGATACTATCTTACAGTCATAAGTCATACTCATTGGCTCGCTAAACTGAGTGCGGCAGATGCCTAAAAATTGATAGTGATTATATATATAAAGAATCAACTCGATAGACAAGATTGCAAAAGTTTAGTTTACACGGAGGATGCATAGGAAAATTTTCATAACAAAATAAAATCTAATAATAACAACTATAAAAACAGTTATATGTAAAATACAAAAATAACCTACAAATCTAACAGCCATATTGGCGTTTAAAGCTCCCATAATCTCTGAAGTGTTGAACCAATCTTACAGACATTTTCTTATCGGTACTTGTGGTTCGGAATAGTCCATCTGCAATCGTCTTCTTACAGCAGCACCGTTTTCTCCTGTCAAAATGTAATCTTTAACTATAACAACATTTCTTGATTCGTATAAACGTTTTTTCATAATATCACAAAGATACTTGAAAATAAAAACCCAAAAATACACTGATCTCCACCTAAAGTTACATCTTGTGTGTACGGTGGTTCTGCTGATAGTTGGGGTATGTAGCCCCCAGTATAGTTGTTTTCCGCAATACTATCAGTGAAATAACGACCACCTTTCAATTAATTTTCTGAAACGATTGACAATTGAAACTTTTAGCCTAGTAGGTACAGAATTTGTGTTAAGTGACTTGTTTACTTATTTACATGAAGTAAGGTTAAAATTTTTGTATAATATAAACGATATGATGTGTTAATTTTATGTAGCAAATATAGCATTTGCAAGCGGCGTACTAGTTCACTTGGGCAATATATTATTAGTCCAGATTAATCAGATATTACTGGAAATGTGCTGAAATGTGATTTCAGCAAAGTCTCAAAAAAAAATCTCAAATCATCCTGAAATAATTTATCATTTGTGCATTTGTAATTCGACTTAGATGTTTATAGCAATACTGTACAAAAATAAAGTTTTGGGTCAAACAATGAGACAGTTTTTTTTATTTTTTTTTCCGTAGAATTGAATGGTGTAATCAGTTTTTGAATGTTTTTTAATTTAAACAAATTATTAACAATAACTGAAAAATTCATTGTTGCAAGTCATTTTTTATTTTTTTACATTTTTGAGCATGTTTTTGAAATGTTATTAGAGATTTTTTTATTTTACCAAAAAGTATATGTCAAAACGAAAAAAATTATTACGGAAGAACTCTGTACGATAATTTTTTTAAGTAGAATTTTTCTTTGAAAAAAAATTGTTTCAGACCGAAAAAATTAATATCTCAGAAACTTCTTGATTTTTTTATCTAAAAAAAATTGAGGTTATTTAAGACAGAGAAAGGTATACATTCACCAAGTTTCGTCAAAATTAAATTATTTTTACGGAAATGAGAAATAAAAAACGAAAAATCAGAAAAAAACCTGTTTTCCGCATTTTTCTCGGAAATTTTGAGGTTATGTTAAAAAGTTGTAGATTTTTGCATGATCTACAACTTTTGTATAGTATACTCTTTTGTTCGACGTCAACTTTCGCCAGAAATCCTAATGATACAATTTTTCATAACTTTTCAACCCCCCAAATCAACCCTTCGCCGCCGCTGCTCACGCATTTATTTTTTTTAGGTTTATCATAAGCCCTTTTACCATTTCCACTAATAAAAGTCCAGGTAACAATTTTTTTTCCAAGTGTAATTTGGTTGGACTATAGGCATAAGTCCTAAAATCAGTAATCTGTGGAACTGAATATATGAACGTTACATAGGTTTACTGTTTAGTATAAGAATTGAAGCAGTAAAGAAGTCTACTATGACTTTGTCTACAAAATTAGAAGCGAGTAAAAGTAAATAAATGAAAAAATAATTAAAAAACCTGTAAAAGTGCCTAAAAAACAAAAAATAACTCCTTAGTGAAAGCACAGTATAGAAAACAGTAGTTTCACTGCCTATCTAACCTATTTATGTCGCTTTAAGTGACTGCGCAGAGACCACGCGCAAGTAGGGGAACCTCAAAAATTGAAAACTAGGCTGGGCTTGTTGGTGGATTAGGGGCTGGGCTTGCTATTGCGCACAGACTACGCGGTTCACAAAACAATTAATTTACTGTTTTCTATACTGTGATGAAAGTCTGAAGATCTGATGCAATGTCATTATGAGAAAGGTTATGTCAGATCTATAATAAAGAATATTCACGACGATAAAAGTGTATTAAGGTTCAGTCATGTTTCTACACAAATTCATTCTACATTCTACACAAACAACGATGATTGCGTGAAATATATACAACGTATGAGATTATCTACTAAAGCTGTGATAACATCAAAGTGAAAAAAGTACGATAATTAAGACGGTTCCCTCATATTCCCCAAAATGATACACACTATCATTGGATTATTAAACAAAATAATTAATTTTTAATAATACAGGGTGATTCGCAAACGGCGACTAATATTGACTAATAAAATTTTGGGGGGAGTTTTTCGTATAAAGTTTTTATCTAGGACGCTTCGTTAAAAAGATACAGGTTGATAAATGTAAAAAAATATTTTTAAGTTTTTTAAATAATTTAAAAACTAGTAAGTGAAATAATTTGAAATTGGGACATGTATTTATGTAAACATTGTCCAAAATCTAAGGCTTTTTTCCAAAATTTATGTTTTAATGGCGGAAATACAGTGTATCGGTGGCATATTTTCCTAAATAAAATAGTACACCACTGTTTTACGGTAACAATCATGATATTTTCGGATTCGTCTTTCAATTTTTTACAAATTACTAATCTCTTATGTTTTTCTAAAAAAGCCTGTTTTTCGAGTAAAACTTAAAAAACGAACTTAATACACCGGACATCATCCTTAAACGGCTGGTATACAGTGAACAAATTAATACACCTGAGCAGTTAGAAGGAAGAATAAATAAGGCTTTTCATCAGATTCAAGCAACAATAAATTTTCAACAAATTACATTTTCGTTACTAAAAAGATGTCGCGCCAGTGTTCGTTGAAATGAAGGTATTTTTGAGCGTTTACTCAAATAAAATCATTAGAATGATGACTAACGTTATCAATTTCTTTATTCGATTTTCAATTAAATAACCGAATGATTAGTGTTTGTCATGTCATTTAAGTAAAGTGTTTTCAGTTCGTTTTTTAAGCTTTACTCTAAAATCAGGCTTTTTTCGAAAAATATAAGAGAATAGTAATTTGTAGAAAACTAAAGACAAATCCGAAAATATCATGATTGGTTACCGTAAAGCAGTGACGTACTATTTTATTTAGAAAAATATGCCACCGATACCCTGTATCTCCGCCACTGGAATACCTAAATTTTAGAAAACATTTTGGACAATGTTTACATAAATGCATGTGCCCAATTTCAAATTATTTCACTTACTAGTTTTTAAATGATTTAAAAAAATTAAAAATATTTTTGTTGAGGTTTACCACCCTGTATATTTTTAACGACTGATTCCCCTTCAACTTCACCAAAGAATACAAGCGCTCATTTTTAGTCATCGTTTGTGAATCACCCTGTATTATTGTTAAATTTAAGAAAATATGTAGTGTTTTTTAATAACTGATCCAACTCTCCTCGGCTTATCCTATCCTTTTGCAAATTTCATATGTTACAGCTTAGCTCAAGATGATGTAACTACCAAAACATTTCCAGACGACTTTATGTTTGGAACAGGTTCTTCCTCATATCAAATTGAAGGTAAGTTTTCTAGAAGAGCTCTTTGATATACCATTTTCCTATTAGGTGCGTGAAGAAAGAGAGATCTTTATTATATTAGAGTTGTTGTATATGCAAAATTGTATTCTGAACAAAAATTCCATTATCAAACATTAGCTAATGCTTTTCCTACAGAGAAAAAAAGTAAAACGAATGTAAAATTATTTCAATATAATTTTCTTCGAATGAGGCGATAATAGGTATTCCTGAATTTTTAGGGGCATGGAATGAAGATGGTAAAGGAGAAAATATTTGGGATCACTTCACCCATACGAAGCCTGGACGAATACCCGAAAATGCTAATGGTGATATCGCTTGCGATTCTTATCACAAATACAAGGAAGATGTAGCCTTACTGAAAGACATGGGTGTTAATCACTACTTGTTTTCGCTGTCATGGTCAAGAATTCTTGTTAATGGTAATTATTTTAATAAGGGCAGCAACTTATTTTAGTAAGGTACAGGAAAGTGAATAAGGTATAAATTGAATACTAATACTAGTATTATCCTAATCATGTTCTTGTTACATTAAACTTGGCTTCCTACATTTTCAGTTATAATTCACTATAAAGAGTGTGTTTCAGACAATTAAGCACGTTATAGACATGAGGCAAAGTAGGGTATGGCGCCGGCGCCCTTGCTTCTGGCAGCAAAAATAAATAAAATTAAAATTTGAGTATATTTCAGTATTTAAGGATTTTACAGGGCGATAGTTCGGATATGTACAGGGTGTTCCACTAAGGAGGCGAGGTACGATATTAGGGAAAGTATAGGCCCTAGAACTTTGGGGAAAAAACTGCTCGACCAAGAGAAATCGCTGAAAATAGTTTTCAAGTTCGTAGCTCGACCGCTAGGAGGCGCAATCTACATACCAAATCATAGAGTCGATTTTTTTTCAGAAATGTTTCCTATTTAGGTATATTAAATAGTGCAAATATGGACAGCCGGATTCATTGCGCATAACTTTTGTTATTGACATTGAAAGGGTGGGGGAAGCCCCTAATATCTGATCAGAAAAATGCATTTTTTTAAGGATTGGCTCATCAAAAGCCAATAGTGTTTATACCTCGTTGGAAAGGTCTTTTCATGTTTTATCTCGTGGTGAATGCGTAATGTCATTTACCTCATATCTAGTTTTACGTCATTGTTGTCCAGTTCTACACCATTGTTATCCAGTTTTACGTCACTGTTATCCAGTTTTATGTCACTGTTATCGAGTTTTACTCCATTTTTATCCAGTTTTACGTCATTGTTATCCAGTTTTACGTCATTGTTATCCAGTTTTACGTCATTGTCATCCGGTTTTACATCACTGTTATCCAGCTTTACGTCAGTGTTATCCAGTTTTACATCGCTGCTATCCTGTTATACCTCATTGTTGTCCAGCTTTACGTCACTTTCATCCAGTTTTACGTCACTGTTATCCAGTTTTACACCATTGTTATCCAGTTTTACGCCATTGTTATCTAGGTTTACGTCACTGTTATCCAGATTTACGTCACTGTTATCCAGTTTTACGTCACTGTTATCCAGTTTTACGTCATTGTTATCCAGTTTTACGCCATTGTTATTCAGTTTTACGTCACTGTTATCCAGCTTTACGTCACTGTTATCCAGTTTTACGTTGCGGTTATCCAGTTTTACGTCACTGTTATCCAGTTTTACGCCATTGTTATCCAGCTTTACGCCATTGTTATCCAGTTTTACGTCACTGTTATTCAGTTTTACGTCATTGTTATCCAGTTTTACGCCATTGTTATTCAGTTTTACGTCACTGTTATCCAGCTTTACGTCACTGTTATCCAGTTTTACGTTGCGGTTATCCAGTTTTACGTCACTGTTATCCAGTTTTACGCCATTGTTATCCAGCTTTACGCCATTGTTATCCAGTTTTACGTCACTGTTATTCAGTTTTACGTCATTGTTATCCAGTTTTACGCCATTGTTATTCAGTTTTACGTCACTGTTATCCAGCTTTACGTCACTGTTATCCAGTTTTACGTTGCGGTTATCCAGTTTTACGTCACTGTTATCCAGTTTTACGCCATTGTTATCCAGCTTTACGCCATTGTTATCCAGTTTTACGTCACTGTTATTCAGTTTTACGTCATTGTTATCCAGTTTTACGCCATTGTTATTCAGTTTTACGTCACTGTTATCCAGCTTTACGTCACTGTTATCCAGTTTTACGTTGCGGTTATCCAGTTTTACGTCACTGTTATCCAGTTTTACGCCATTGTTATCCAGCTTTACGCCATTGTTATCCAGTTTTACGTCACTGTTATTCAGTTTTACGTCATTGTTATCCAGTTTTACGCCATTGTTATTCAGTTTTACGTCACTGTTATCCAGCTTTACGTCACTGTTATCCAGTTTTACGTTGCGGTTATCCAGTTTTACGTCACTGTTATCCAGTTTTACGCCATTGTTATCCAGCTTTACGCCATTGTTATCCAGTTTTACGTCACTGTTATTCAGTTTTACGTCATTGTTATCCAGTTTTACGCCATTGTTATTCAGTTTTACGTCACTGTTATCCAGCTTTACGTCACTGTTATCCAGTTTTACGTTGCGGTTATCCAGTTTTACGTCACTGTTATCCAGTTTTACGCCATTGTTATCCAGCTTTACGCCATTGTTATCCAGTTTTACGTCACTGTTATTCAGTTTTACGTCATTGTTATCCAGTTTTACGCCATTGTTATTCAGTTTTACGTCACTGTTATCAGCTTTACGTCACAGTTATCCAGTTTTACGTTGCGGTTATCCAGTTTTACGTCACTGTTATCCAGTTTTACGTCACTGCTATTCAGTTTTACGTCACTGTTATACAGTTTTACGTTGCGGTTATCAAGTTTCACGGTTATCCAGTAAACCAAGACAAACAGTCCGCACCACAATGAGATCGATAAAAAAGAGCGGCCAACAACCGGCTAACAAACGGCTAACAACGGTTAACAACCGGCTAACAACCGGCTAACAACGGTTAACAAGCGGCTAACAACCGGCTAACAACCGGTTAACAAACGGCTAACTAAGGCTAACAAGCGGCTCCTCGTATCAGGATGAGATTTATAGGCGTGCACATATATAGTATAATCTGTTTATAATTAATTACTTCTGTCCCTCTGTCCAGTTTTTTAAATTTTATTTCTTTTTTATGGTTTATCATACTATTTTTGTCTGCGTCTATCATCTTATTATAATCTATAGGCACACAAAGAGTCAATAAAAAAATTATAATATATATTTGATGAAATACTATTTTTATATTTCTAATGCTCTTTGTAAATTTTTTGTAATTATTTTTCTTTTCTTTATGTGGTTGCGTGGAAGAGCGAGGAATCGAACGCCGCCACTATTTAATTAATTTTTTTTTAATTGTACAAATAATAATGCGAATAAAGACATTTATTATTATTATTATTATTA